CTCTCTCTCTCTCTCTCTCTCTCTCTCTCTCTCTCTAACAAAGGTATAATTGGATGGAACACTACTCTCTCTCTACCCATCAAAGGTGAGAGAGCGAGAGAGAGATTTGAGCTTTGATGATAATCAAAATTTGGTGTTCTACAGAGGAAAAGAAACATATTATACCACTTCAAAGTGTCATTTGATTCAACTCACAATCATTATCTTATCCATATGATGACACAGAACTAAGGGATAATCTTCTTTGCAGAATGAGTTAAACAAGAATACAGAAAAAAATGCATAAAATGAACATTACCCATTTCTGATAACAACTATTTCATCCCCACTCATTTATCCTCTCTCTCTCTCTCTCTCTGTAACCTTTATCTGACTTTGTAATCTTGGTCATTCAGGCTGATAGGGCCTCTATAGTGGGCGACGCTACTGAGTATATAAAAGAGCTCCTGAGAACCGTTGATGAGCTGAAAATACTAGTAGAGAAGAAGAGGTGTGGAGGTGATAGAAGCAAGAAGGTCAAGACGGATGGCGAAAGTTGTGTAAACATTGAAAACTCTTCTTCGAAGAACCCGGACGATCAAACTGATAGAGAGAGGAAGTTTAATGGGTCACTTAGGAGTTCGTGGTTACAAAGGACATCGAAAGAGGGGACTCTGGTTGATGTGAGGATTGTGGATGATGAAGCTAACATAAAGCTCACACAGAGAAAGAGAAGGAATTGCTTGCTCTATGTATCCAAGATCCTTGATGAGCTTCAGCTTGAGATAATCCATGTCACTGGTGCAAACATTGGAGACAACTACATCTTCATGTTCAATACCAAGGTATGCCAAAACTAAGAGTTTTTCTTTTCTTTTCTTTTTTGCCTATTTAAGCATATTTATTTGTGACTTTATTTGTTATTTTTAATTGGGTAAAAAGAAATAACTTTTTTTTTTGAGGGGGGTGTTGGGGAAAGAGAGAGAGGCGACAAAAATAATTTAGGTTGTTTCTTTGTCAATGATGCAGATCCATGAAGGTTCTTGTGTGTATGCAAGTGCAATTGCCAGTAAACTCATGGAAGTTGTCGATAGACAGTACCCACCCTTTTCTCCCCCATTCTAGTGAAATCAACAATCATTCTGTGATTTCCATCATTTGAGCTTCATTGGGGTTTCCTCTTTCTTCTGAAGCTTTGAAGAAAATAATTTGTGAATATGAACAAGTGTGTTTATGACTATGGTAGTGTGGAATATGAAATTAAAAGGATCCCCTAAAAATGTTTTTTCTCTGGAAGGAAAATACTTTCATATGGCTGAACCTCTGTGTGCGCGTATTTGTATTTGGTTGTTTTGAGATGATTAAAAATATTTACGTTTTGGGTCTGTTTGGATGACAATTAGTTTTGTTAGGAACATATTATTTTATCGGAAATTAATATCCTTTGAATAATGTGATTTTGTTTGTTGTTTGGTATGTATCTTGCATTACGTAATATTATTTAGATATTTAAATTTTCAGCTATTTTTAGCTATTTTTAGACGTGAAAATTTAGTGTTCAGAAAATTATTTTGAATAAAATAAAAATATCTGTTCAAAAAGATAAATTTATATGTAAGTACCTATAAATTTGTCTCAAATAACTCTATAATGACACAACAAAACGACAGGTGACTCATTATCAAAATTAATTTTATTAAAAAAATTAATTATCAGTAATAACGCGTACATAGAAACATACTCTTTATCCAACAATCAAAAGAATAAGAACATTACATGTAGATGCTGGCATGAATACTTTGCTTTGGTTCGTGAGTATATTAACGCAGGTAAACACACACATCAATTCCGAAACATCCACTTGAACTTTGCCATTTCCATCCGATATATTTATCTCATGTATTCGGATTTCCTGTTCGTGTTGTTTTCTTGTTCATTGGTGGAAGACTAGGCTTTGAGAAGTCATGGTCATAAGAACTTTATAGTGTAGTAGTACATATTCCATTCTCATACTCATTCATACTCTTTTTTTACTTATCCATCTAACAAGGTTGTATAAATTTAAAAATTAAAAACCATAATTCATATTTTCTCTTTCGCCTTGGCCCAATGGAATGATTCACTGGCCGAGTCAGCTCGGCTAGTTCTCCAGGTTTATTCTGTTTGTTTTCATGGCATTTTTTGATTCCTATGGCCGTGATTCAACAAGGTCTAAAGATGGAGGACGATTCAGAGGAGCCAGGATGAGCTATTCTTATTACTGGGTCTTATGAAAATTATAGGCACCAGTTGTAAGGAAAAATATTTGATTTTCATGGACAATTGAGATCCCTGAATAAAACATTTCATTGATTTTCTTGAAAGTTCCATTTTTCAGGTTGGGAACTTCAGTGAGGAACTTCTTGTTCTTAAATCGAAAGACCAGGCATAGAATTGCCTAGATTTTTATTACTTGTGTACTTTGCCATAGAGGGTTGTTTCACTGACGGACCGTTTGTACAATTATCATTTTTCACTGACTTATTTATTTTTAGCTGATTTTTCATGGATGGGTTATCTGTGTGATTTCAATAAGATTGCAATCTTAAACAACCCCTTTAAGGTGTCCTATAAATTTTATTTTAAATATAATTTTAGTATAAAAATTTCTTTGGGTAGCTTGTAAATCTATTTTCATATCTAATTAAATTATAAAATTCAAACTCTAAAAATAGTTCAAATCATAAATATATAAACATATGAAAATCTTGAAAATGAATGGTGCAGATAATCTGTTGCAAGATATATTATTTCTCGGGCTCGAATTTTTTTTTTTTATTATTTCATACATTTCGATGTCGAGATCATCAATTAGAAGGTTTTAAATCATCAAAACAACTTGTTATGGTAGATTTTTCGAGGTGCACCTTTAATTCAACATTTTAAGGTTGCAACCTCATATAAACTTTTTCCTTACATATATTAAGCTGCAGTTAAGTGGTAGAGGCCTGGTTAAACGAAAGAGTACCCTATCGACAGAGAGATTGTAAGAATATTCTAAAAGATAGGTGTGACTTGGAGATGCCACCCATACCATTAGAGATTGTAGGGAAGGTTTGATAATTGAAAGTTCCAGCTCGAAAGGCTAGAAATTCTAGTTTACCAGGGCACTTCCTGAAAAGGAAAGTGCCACAGGAAACTAGAAGTTATAAGTTCTCAAAAAATGAGCACATGTTGCCCCCATCCACTGTAGAAATCTGCTTATCCTGTTTATCCAGAAATTTCTCTCTTAATGTTTTTTTCTAGCCATGTCCTCCTCTCTCTCTCTCTCAGTTCTTTCTCTATAACTAAGTCCTTTTCTCTCTCTAAATTCCATCTTTCTAACTATGCCTTAGTTATCTATAACTTCTCTCTATCTCTGTTCTTTTTCTCTAACTCTTTTCTCCCTGGAAACACGTCATGTATTTCTCCAATGTCAGTTTCCTCCCAACTTTTCTCTCTCTATTCTCCAATGTCAGTTTCATTCTAACTTTTCTCTCTCCAACCGTCTACTTTCTCTCTCTAACGACGCTCTTTCTCTCGCTTGTTGTGCCCTTTGTTAAAAGAAAAAGTTTATATAAGGTTGCAACGTTAAAATGTAGCATCACAGATACACTTTAAAACTCTATCGGAAATATTGTGTAGCATCACAGATACACTTTAAAACTCTATCGGAAATATTGTCTTAATGTTGAAAAAACCCATTAATTGGTCATTTGGAAAAAAGAAAAAAAAAATTCTGATTTTAAAAAATAGTTCATCTTGCAACACATTTTTTAGACTGTTCATTTTCAAGATTTTCATATATTTATTTGATTTTAACCATTTTTATAATTTAAAATTTTTAATTAGGTAGGAAAATAAATTTTAAAATAATACTAAAAATTTTTTACAATAAAATTACAGGATATGATAAAATTTTAAAATAAAATTACAGGATATGATAAAATTTTAAAATGCACCTTGAATTGTTTAAGATTGCAACCTTACCGAAACCGCACCCTTTGTTAAAAGATAATTTGTCACCTCTCCACCGTCATTCTATTATTCTCTCTCTCTCTAAGTAGACCCTTGTGTTGTAGAATAGAAAGTCCGTACAATTGGCGGTACAAGTAGTTGCTTTATTACAAAATAACTTTTAAATTCAAAATCACAAGAACGCATTTTTTTATATATTTTAAAATATTTGAATTGATTTCGATGGTATCAGTGCAAAAATAAACTATAGATTTATAAATTTAAGGACTTGAAAAATATGTTAATCTTTTTGGATCGTTGTTCATGATTACCGAAAAACAAGAATAAAACAATAGACATAAATATACTTTCTGTGATTCGACAATAAAAGAAAACGACTTCTTGTTTGATATCTGAAGGGGTGGACTGGCATTCACCTCTTTTTCCCTCTAAGCTTGATGGGAAGCTTTTTTATGAAAATTGCGTAAGAGCTGAGACAATCACCTTATATCTTTTCTTTATTATGTTTCTTTCTTTTATCCTAACCCATCATAAGTAGTTATTTTTAAGAGATAGTGGGTGAGATGATTATCAATAATCTTTATCTTAATATTAGATAATCGACTCACTTAAATTGTGGATAATTTTACCCTTATATAATTGTCGTTAAACCATAAATTGGAGATATTTTCTAACAATGAGAAATAATTTTAATGCTGAATTGGGTTTTTATTGGCACATATTTCTTTATCCATTTAGATCGTGGTTTAAAAAAAGGGTGTGGTTTCTATAAGGTTGCAACCTTAAACAATCCAATTAAGGCACACCTCCAATTTTTATTATAACATGTAATTTTGGCTTAAAAAATTATTAGTATTATTTAAAAATATATTCTCACATCTAATTATAAAATTTTAAACTCCAAAAATGGTTAAAATCAAGTGGATCTATAAACATATGAAAATATTGAAAATGGACGGCTTAGATAATGTGTTGTAAGATGCACTATTTATGGGACTCAAATTTTTTATTTTTTTTCATATTCATACATCTAGATGTACAGAGAGGGTTTCTCAACATTAAAACCATTTTTTCGATAGATTTTTGAGGTGCATCTTTACTTTTACATTTTATGGTTGCAACCTTATATAAATTTTTTCCTGAAAAAAAAATAAATTGTAATAATTTTGAATAAATAAAATAAATTAATAAATATTTGATACTTTGATGTGATATTATTTCACTCTATATGGGAAATTATTGTTTTTAATATTATAATATGAAAGTATTTTCAAATCCTTTAAAATTATTTTGATGCAATATTATAATACTATATTATAATTAATAATTATACAAACATCTAGGCAGGAAAACAATATCTCAATATTTACCTATTTTTATGAAGTAACGAAAGTACATAATGCACTACACCTAATTTCGTTTAGAAACTAAAAGAACACTATTTTTATATATTTATATTGGTTTTTTGAAAATATTTTGGGATGAAACTTGCCGATTAGGCCGATTATCCGATCTGACACGTTGATCCACCAATCTGATACGGTTTTCAAGTTGTACAATCTGGGTCGCCGATTCATTTTTTAAAACCTTGGTTAAAATAAGGCACGAGTAAGAAATGTACGAATCACGACAAGACAAATAGAAAATACGCTCAAGTTCAATGCTTAGAGAGAGACTGAGAGGTGGAGTGGTACATTAGGGGAGAGAGAGAGACAAACTTTGTGGGAAACCTAAAAAAATATAGAGGAATGATGTGTTGTTTCGTGGGTTTGAGCACAAAAATTTCTGGATTATCAAAAATCGAAAAGTCATATTTTTCAGTTTTTGAAACTGTTAAATTTAGATTTTCAAAATCCAAAAATCTATTACTTTTTAGTTCTTCAAAAACCGAAAAAATCTGAGTTTTCAGTTTTAGAAAAATAAAAAAGGGCAGTTCCATCTTTTTTAAAAAAAGAATTAAATCAAATGACAGTTCCATATTTTTTAAACTTTTGTAAATTTTACAATAAAAGAACTAGTGATGAGAGAGAAAAAAACCAACAAGACATATATGTGGTTCGACAATAGTGCGTACGTCCACAAAGGGTAAACAAATATCTCATTCATAAGGATTACTTTGGTTTACTAGATAGTTATAGAGTTACAATTCTTGTCTTTTAAGAAACAAAATCTCATTATAAATGTAATCTCACAACATAGGAAACTTAATATAGGAAAATAAATGTCAAGATCGGAAACTTTATATCTTGCTGCTATAACTGTCAACACTCTCCCTTAAGTTGGTGCGTAGATATCTATGGAGCCCAACTTGGATAATATTTTAT